TGAGACAGTAATTACAAAGAATTAATAAGAAATCGAGCTTTATGAACAACAATTGTAGCTCGAAAGTACCATTTTTGGAAAACATTATTGTACACTAATTATTGGAAAATTGAAATTGGTAGCCCCGGCCCTGTAAATTGAAAATCGTAGTAAAAAACAATTATTGCACAATAATAAAGAACATCTATTCTACTCTACTTCTAAGAACTAATTATAGAATCACATACTAACAATGATGATCTTGACCACCATGGAATAATTAGCTAGGAATTTAAATATGTTCATAGACACCCACATTTTGAATGATAAATTCACCATAATTTGAGCCTTGCACAAATGTCCAATTAAAAAAGTGCTCTCTAGAATGGAGAAAGAACTAGAATGAGAATCAAGCAATGTAGCCATCAAAATGAAGCTAATTAAGCAACAAAATCAAATGAGTAGATATTTGTTACTAACCTTAAAGCAAAAAGATCAAGCCATTCTTCAAAATCCAAGCTCTAGCTTCATGAAGAAGAGCAGACTCAACAATGGAGGAAAGGGCCAAACGCGCACCTCTGTTCTCGGCATGGAAGAGAGGAGGAAGAAGAGGACGATTGCAGTCTTTTTGTGCTGTAGGCTTATCATCGTCGGTTGTTAGCTAGAACCGACAGTGATAGATCCAAATCACTATCGACTCTTGGCTTAAACCGACAGTGATGAGGGATCACCAAAACACTGTCGGTTCAAGCCACAAACCGACAGTGATGTGGTCCTTCACTACCGGTTTTAGCCCAGCCCCAATTATTTTCTCATTTTCAAGCTTATAACCGACAGTGAAGGTACATCACTGCCGGTTGTCACAAATCCGACAGTGATGAGGCCGGCAGTGATGTCCAAATCTAGGATAGTGGTAGTTGGAGTGCAAGATCAAAGGATGGATGAATTTTTTTCCTTTTGTATATCTATATCTATATCTATATCTATATCTATATCTTCTTCTTCCTTAATACTAAAGAGGCAAAATTTCTATCATATATTTTTTTCGTTCAACTTCACGGTCATAGACTCACAATTCTCACACTACTACACAAATGATTTTGCGTGACACCCCCCCAGAGGCCACCGAGGCGGGCACCTATTTTTGTCCGTCACGGTAAATGCCACGGTTTACCTAGGCGGGCATTTTTTATTTACCACAGCGGGCATTTTTGCCCACCACGGTAAATCGATTTATCGTGGCAGACGTCTTAAGATGTCCGCCACGGAAAATACCCTATTTTCCGCGGCAGACATCTTAAGACGTCCGCCACGGTAAATCGATTTACCGTGGCGGGCGTCCTAAAATGCCCGCCACCTAAAATGTGGAGGCCCAACTGACCCAAACCTAGGCCCAATAGCCATCTCCAATATAAAAGGAGGGAGTTAGGGTTTCACTGAAACACATCACCCACATCCTTCACACCATCGTCGCCGCCTCCCCCACTCTCTCTCTGTCAGCTCCCCGCCTCCCCCACTCTCTCTCTCTCTCAGCTCTCCGCCTCCCCCACTCTCCCTCTGCCTCCCTCTACTCTCCCTCGATGTAGGCAGCGGCCTCCTCCAAGGGCGCGCGAGGCCTCCAAACGGCGGATCGAGGGCGTGCGGGGCGACGGCGCACGCAGGACGACAGCGACGGCTGCGTCCTCCTCCTCCCCCACGGATCCTCCATGAACGACGACGGCGCGGGGCTAGGGTTTCAAATCCAATGAGTTCATCTCCCTCTTCCTCTCCATCTCCCTCTTCCTCTCTCCATCTCCCTCACTCCTCCCTCTTCCCCTCTCCAGATCCGATGACGGCGACCTCTTCCTCCACGGATCCGGTGGCGGTGACCTCCTCCCCCACGGATCTGGCGGCTGCACCCTCCTCCTCCGTGGATCTGGCGGTGGAGCGACTGGATCCGGCGGTAGATCTCCACCACGGCCACGACGCCGGGATCCACCACGGCCACGACGCTTGGACCTCCACCACGGCGGGCGAGGACGCGTCGGCGCGGCGGCCTCCCTCCACCACGGCGCGACGGGATCCGTGAGGAGGCACGGGGATCCGCGAGGAGGCGTCGGCGTGGTCCCCTATGAGCGACTGGCGAGGTGGTGGCGGCCCTGCAGTGGCGTCGGCGTGTCCAGCCGGCTTCTCCAGAGACGTTGGGGCCCGACCGGCTGCTCCTCTTCTCCCTCCCCGAGCGGCACAGATCTGCGACCGTGGGAAGCCCGGATCCGTCGCCGGTGGGCTTGAGAACGGGCTCGCCGGTGGGCTCCTGGTTTTTTTGTTTTTTTTTAAATGATTAACCGCAGCGGGCATCCTAACGTGTCCGCCGTGCTAAAAGTATATTTACCGCGGTGGGCACGTTACACCGCCCGCCGCGGTAAATCGATTAACCGCGGCGGGCAAGGCCGCCCGCCGCGGTTAAGCCACGATTTACCGTGGCCTCTAGGTCGCGGCGGACGGCTTTGCCCGCCGTGGAAAACCGAAAACGCCCGCCTCCAGTGAAGTTTGTGTAGTAGTGTCAGTTTCCGAATCGTGCTAGTCGAGAATCGTGCTAGTCGATCCAACGCTGTCCGGCATCTGAGTCTAAAGAGGGTATGGTACGTAATCCATGGCAAGAACCCATAGAGATTCTTTTTGTTTTTGATTCGGAAGTACAACTGTATCATACGTATTAGAGTCTGGAGCCCGTATCGAGCACAGCTTGGATTAAGTTTAACTAGGTATACATGTCTTACTTGGTAACTTAGCCAACCGGTTGTCTTCTAGCATGTCCTCCAATCCTACCTATATACGTATAAATACAAACCATGTGTATAAACTAAGATATGTGCTTGCATATTTCTTTTTAATCACGACATAAACAAAAACAATCATATGCACAACTTACATGCCCACGTAAAAATTAAATAGCCAAAGATGTCATTTGTTTGCACGAATAAAAAACAATCTCATCCATCCAAAATTAATTGAAAACAACGTCCATATCTAGCAAGCTATTAAATAGAAATTCTCAAAACATATTGCCAAAGACAATGGGATAAAAGTTTCACGCAAAAAAAGAAAAAAGAAAAACAACATCTTATAAAAGAAAATATTGTACCTACTTACTACTTCCTCCGTTTCAAATTATAAACCATTTTGGCTTTTTGAAATATATTGCTTTTACTATGAATATAGACATAGTATATATTTAAATGCATAGCAAAAGTTATGTACATAGAAAATCCAAAATATCTTATAGTTTGAAAGGAGAGGAGTATTAAAGAGAAGGAATTCTTCTAACCGTTTTTAACTTTCCACAATGCATGCATGCCCCCTCGTGATCACATAAGTGATCCGAATTCATCATCCGTACTCACACAAAATAGAACACCACAAAGTAGCCGATGACACAAGCGATTGAATAGATATTTGACCCCGAAATCATCCAAGTGATCACACAATAAGATGTATGGTCTGTTGCAATGTACGAGCATGTTTGCTAGCTAATATAAAATACATATTGAGTATACCTAGTGTGTGTGTGTATATATATATATATATATATATATATATATATATAAGTACTATTCTCTAACTGGCCGCAGAATAAGTTATTTTGTGGCCACTTTGAGTTACGATAATATTACTATATTAATTTACGAGATTATGGTAACTCCTTTCTAAGTGATTTACTATAACATTATGGTAAGTATCATCTTGAATTATAATAACCCATGTATCATAAATGTGTATTGTCATTATCATAAATTGGTACAAACATTATCGTAAATCAAGATGGCCATAGAATAAGTTATTCTGTAGCCAACTGCAGAATAGCCTTACCGTGTGTGTATATATATATATATATATATATATATATATATATATATATATATATAAAGAGGATGCCTTGAGTATCAAATCATCCCAAACAGAACACTTCTTTACAAAACAACGGTTCTAAGTATATTTTTTGAAAATTGGTTTGAAGTATTTTTTTATTGGGTACAACTTGAACATACATAACATGCACACTCTACACACGCTATACGTACATACGTGTGTGCGTTCATATACACGTAAAGAAGAGATTGGAAGGCACGTCGCCTCCAGTGCACGAGAAACGCGCAATATCACCAAACGCGCACGCATATCCTATTTTTTTTTTGCAATACCACCGAATGCGCATACGTGCGTGTACCCTAAAATTATTATTATTTGATCGGGTACAACTTGGACGCGCACAATCCACACACTCACACTACATGTGCGTGTCCATATACACGCAAAGAAAGATTAGGCGTCGCCTCCGGTGCGCGAGATACTCCACACACACACCACACGCACACACACAAAGAAGAGATTGGGAGGCACGTCACCTCCAGTGCGTGAGAAACACGCAATACCACCGAACGCACGTGCATACGTCTACCCTAAAATTATTTTTTTACAATACCACCGAACACGCACACGTACGTGTACCCCAAAACACACATGCGTGCATGTACCTTAAAATTATTATTTTTTCAATACCACCGAACACGCACATGCACACGTACGTGTACCCTAAAATTATTATTTTTTGATCAGATACAACTGACGCACACACACTTTATAGTTATACCACACGTGTACGCGTCCATACACACGCAAAGAAGAGATCGAGAGACATGTCGTCTCGGGAAACGTGTAGTACCACAACGACGTGTACACGTGCGTGTGCTCTAAAATTTGTAGAAAAATTCTAAATAAAAAAGTGTGATCATCAGGATTTTGAACCTGGTGACTGGCTCATTCGTGTTCTAAGGCCATGTTCGTTGGAAGGAATTTGAAGAAATCTAGAGAAATTTATAAAAGAGTGAATAGTGTTTTACAGCCAGCTACAGTGAATGCCGGCTGAATTTCATGTCAGCCGAACGGCCCTAAGTGTTTTGATACTCCTACGTGGTGATGCCTTGTCATTTAGGAGGACGAATGCTCATAAATGAGAAATGCTCGCCACGTCCGCACCATGCATGCGCTACTGTTTCCTCTCTCCTGTCCTGTCTCCTTCCCTTCTAGCAGTTGGCCAAAAGGCACCACCTTTCCCTTCGCCCGCAGACTTCTCCGATCCGCAACCAAACCAAATTCCACGACATTTCCTCAAGCGGTTTCTTCAAGAAACCTGGATCAATCCAACCTTCAATCGCACATTCGGTGGGATCTCCCTTGAGTTGCAATGGAAGAGGGGACCACGGAATCCGGATCATTCTCCCGCTCTTCGTCCTTCGTGAGCTCGCCCCAATTAAAAAAGGGGAATTTTCTGTGGGCTATTAAAAAAAAGATTACGATGTCCTGCGTGGTTCCGTCTTTAGCGTCATAGCTCTAACTTTTTTTTTTGTCATCAATACCACTGCCGTCAGTCTAGACTCTAACACCGTTAAACTGCAGGTGTGAAAAGTCGATCATACCCTTAATTTTAAATATGTCATTAATTTTTTTGAGCATCTTAACGACTTCAAATGAAAAAACTCAAAAGTAGAAAGTTGTACATCTCGTCGAGATCTATAATTTTCATATAAAATTATCTTTATTTAATTCCGCAAAAAAATATTATAATTTTTTAAGATATATTAATCATATTAAATCATATTTTTTTACGGAATTAAATGAAGATAATTTTTATATGAAAATTATAGATCTCGACGAGATCTACAACTTTCTACTTTTGAGTTTATTCATTTGAAGTCGTTAAGATGTAAAAAAAATTAATGACATATTTAGACTTAAGGGTATTTTCGACCTTTCACACTTATAGTTTAACGGCGTTAGAGCTCAGACTGTAGTGGCATGGAGGGCACAAAAAAATTGGAGCAGTGGTGCTGAAGACCGCTGAACTTTTTCAGAGACACACAAGCCATCACAATCTTTTTTAATGACACACAAGCAATTCCCCCATTTAAAAAAAGTTGATTTGATTTGGTTCCCATCCCGTTTTCTTGGAAGTAGAAGGGAAAAACTTTATTGATCTCGATGAATTCCTGCAGTGTGGGTTCGAGGAGTGGGTGGCATTGGGCCTTGTTTAGTTCGCGGGTAGAAATCAGTATTTGACACTGTAACACTTTCGTTTGTATTTGACAATTATTGTTTAATCATGACCTAACTAGGCTCAAAAATTCGTCTCGTAATTTACAATCAAACTGTGTAATTAGTTATTTTTTTATCTACATTTAATACTCCATACATGTGTTAAAGATTTGATGTGACGAAGAGAGAGTGAAAAGAATCTAAATAAGGCCTCGGTGAGGAAACGTGGGAAGGCCGCCTCGTGCGGGCGTCTGGGTCTCCGTTCATCAGCCAGGTACCGCCATTTCGTCTCGCTCTTCAGTTCCTGTGATCCACTTGGTGGCGAAAGAACAGCCCCTTCTTTCCATGCTCGGCCACGCAATTGGATGTGGATCTGATAAATTTATTTTTGTATAACTCGTCTTCTGATGCACCAAGTCGACGATGAATTTTTATTGCTTGTACAACTATTAAGTTTCTTACCTTTTGACAATCTTTCACGTGCCTGAATTTTATCAAAATTTCAATGTTTGATTTATGAGCGGTGCTAGCACCTGTTGTTGGTATGCCGAAAATGCTTACGATCATATATTTAATCAAGCATCGTGGACTTCGTACATTGTGACCATGTTAACTTCTTTTCAGCTCAAAGCCCTAAACTGATACTTACTGTTTGATAGCTAATTGAAAATACACACTGTATCCAAATGATGTGTACCATGAGTATAATTTTTTTCCTCATAGGATGGGGACGGGTTTGTCAAGTCAGATTATACTTTTTGTTTCAATAACTGATAGTATTACTGTTGCTCTCACTATATTGCAGTTCAGAAGTACTAGAACTTGCAGATCCTGATAGCAATGTCATTGACCCTGACCCTTGTGACCAAGTGCCAGAAGGAATCCTTTGGGAGAGGCTTGGGAGGGTTTCCATGATGGATATTGAGTCAAGTAACTTCAGTTGGAGTTCTCTCACCTCACTGCACCATACAAAACATACGGCTACAAGTACTGATCCATCTGAGGATGACGTTAGCAGAAGTTTTGAGGTTTTTATTTGTTCTATCCATGTTTTTGCAAATTACTTTTTTTACAGTTGGAGAAATATTATTAGGTGTAGGCTATCTTTTACGAATATGTATATTAGAATTAATTTTACAAACCATGTCTCTAGGTCCTTCTAATAACTGTACTATTTTGCTTAGGTGACAGTAAATTCGGGGGGCGTTGTTTTTATTGCATTATTGAAAGCTATTGAAAATGTTGACCTTCCATCCAAGGAAACAACTGCAGTCATTAAAATAGCACCTTCAAGGATGGCCACGCAGTCTGAACGCTTTGGGTACAAACTCGCTAAATGGCTTGGAGTGAGAACTCCTCAAGTAAGAATCCACTATGCTAGCAGGCACTCACGCTAACTAAAATGTTGCACTGACAACTCTCTTGACCCATATAGGGCAGAGTCATTCATAGCTCGTCATCTGAATGGCAACAAATCAAGGATGCAGTTGAAAATGCTCGACATGCATCAATAGCTGCTGGTGATGAACTTGAGGAGATGATTTGTGCCGAGATGCTAGAAGCCCTTGAATTGAGTCGTTGCCTATTTCTGATGAAGTATATATAAACATGAAGTTGCCACTTACCAGTAATGTGCTTATCAAAATAATGCTTATTATAACAAATAACAAATTTGTCTTGCTGTTTTGCAGTTATGTACATGGCTCCCCTCTGCTAGAGAATCTAATGCCATTTGAGTCACGGCAAGCTGCTGAAAAAACTGCTGAAGCATTAGGGAGGGTCTTAATCCTGGACCTCGTATTGAGGAATGAGGATAGACTGCGATGCCGTCCCCTTGGCTGGCGTGGAAATTATGCAAATCTACTTGTCGCCAACAGGGAAGCTTATGCAAACCTTGACTCACTAGATGATGTTTATGATTCTGCTATCATTCGATACAAGCCAGAGATCATCAGAAGCCCTCAGAAACAGAAGCAGAGAAGAGCTATTTCAATTAGTGGCAGTATGGGCTCAGATGTCTCTGACCTCATATTGGAGGACTCTTATGCTTCTAGTGGGCATGAGTTTTCTAGCTTTAATATTGTAGCCATTGATTCAGGTGTACCACGCAGGCCACCTGCCAGTAAGCGGGCAAAAGATCAGGAGAGCTACCCCAAACTAGTGGAATTAACACTGAACAACTTCGACTATTCTTCCAAACTTCTGTTTGAGGTGTCCTTCGGAAAACCTGGCATCCCAGGACATGAAGAATTTGATGTATCATCTGATTATAGCTATAATTCTCCTCTCTCTGAGAGTGATATGGTAGCAACAGTGCATTCATTCCGAGGAGGTTTTCGTAGTGCTCTGAGAGACCTTCAGCGATTCCATATTTTCCTCATCACACTCTATCAGAAGCTGGATGGTCTATTGAAAAATTTCTTCAATCTTATGTATAAATGCTCCAATGAATATGCTAGGGAGGATGCTGGTACTTCTGATTCACCATTGTGTTCAGTGGAATCACAAGCAGATTCAAATGATACTGATGTTCCAAGGAATCTGCGTAAGCCTTCCCGAACCTTATCCCGTGACAATCTAGACCTATCATCTCCTTCCTGTCGAGAGAGCTTTATCAGCAAACATTTCAAAGGAAATGGTGATGCCTCCCGTGGTCTTCGGTTGACAATGAAGCTGCGAGATTTTAACAAGTATGCCAAGGTTAAGACCTTTGAAGTGTGGATGGATAATTTGTCTATTATAAAATGTATGACGTAGGTGCCTAGTTGACATCTAGCTGTTTTTTTTTCACTCTTATAGATTGTTCCACTAATTTTTGCTGAATATAGCGCAAAACAGAATTTAGTTGCAGGAGACCAAATAGCTAAAGGGCTTCATGATTTCAGCATGCAACTTGCATACTAACCAAAGTTTTGTTTCAGGTACATATGGTACCTATCATATGACTATTTAGTTAATTTGACTGCTAGTCTGCTATATGGTGTTTTGCATAAATCAGTCAAGTTTATCACGCGATTATATTAGTCATTCAGAAAATTTTTACAGGTAGACAGTGAATTAAGCAAAGAGAGAGAACAATGGAATGACATGCTGAGGACTGAAGTAGTAAAGTTGTGTCAAGACAACAATTTTCACACAGGCTTTTTTGAAGGCACTGATAATAGCACTGCTGTTGATGCTTACGAGTTGAAGGTAAATCTAAATGTACCCTCTGAACTAACTACTTGTATACTCATTAATTGAACCTATCAAGCAATTCTGTTCTTAGGTTCGACTTGAGCACATTCTCGAGAGGATATCTTTGATCTCTGATGCTGCAAGCACTGAGCGTCCATCACAGATCACAGATTACCTGTATATTGGTGGTGCTCTAGCTGCTCGGTCAACACACACACTTAAGCACCTTGGCATCACCCATATATTGTGCTTGTGTACAAATGAAATTGGACAGTCAGAATCACAGAAGCCTGACCTTTTTGAGTATAGGAATTTCTCGGTGAGTTCTACCTAATATCTCCATGGATGGAAAATCATTTTCCTTTAGCATAAGCCAAAAGACCCAGTTTAGATATCTTTCAGTGCTTAATTGCTTCTTTATATAGATCAAGGATGATGACAATGCAGACATTGGTGATCTCTTTCAAGATGGTTCTGATTTTATCGATTACGTGGATCACTTGCGTGGCAAAGTACTTGTGCATTGCTTTGAGGGAAAAAGTCGTAGTGCGACTGTTGTTCTTGCCGCTGAGGAAGTAAGACTGCACAGTAATTACTATATATCATCATTATCATGCTTCTCTGTTAAAATCAATAACTCACCATGACTGAAACAACTTATTACCAGATTTACCTTTTTTTTATGTGGCCTTAAGGTCTATCAATCCAGAAATGACATCTGTACGGATAGAAAGATTGCATCTTTCCCTTTTTTTTATTGTCCTGGACGCGGTCATTATCTCATCATTTCCCCCCCTTTTTTTTCTTAAGAAAATGTACTCTCCTGGAAGCATGGAACATGCTGAAGAAGTGCACCGACGTGCGCATCCCAATGATGGGTTTGCTAAGGTCTTGCTGGATCTTGACAAGAAACTGCACGGGAAAATCTCCATGGAATGGCAACACAAGAGGCCAGCGATGAAGGTGTGTCCCATCTAAGGATGAAAACGGTCGAACTTGGTCGAAAAACTCCTCAACCGTTTTCTACTTTTACATTTGAAATACGAAAGCGAAAGCGAAAGCGGACAAGCCGGACACGAAAACAAACACGAACTTACGGAATATCTAGAATTTTGGAAACGAACCAATTCGAACAGAATTATGTCAAACACGGTCGGTATGCGAAAATTCAATACGAAATACCGACCCACAGTGCATAGCATTAAACAAGTGCACGACCAAATACATAACAAGTTCACAACTAACAAGTGCATGATCTAGTTCAAGTGCATAACATTAAATAAGTGCACAACCAAATACATAATAAGAGAGATGAGGCTGGACGTCGTCTATAAGAGAGGGCAGCTAGCCACCAGTAGAAAGAACGCAGCTGCGTGGTGAGCAGCCTGTAATTGGGCTGTATGACCTGTGCAGTTGGCCAAATTCGGTTTAAACCGAATTTTGAATTCGGAATATTTCAAATTAAAAGTAGAAAAGTAGAAAACGGTCGAAAAATGTGTAAACCATTTTCTACTTTTACATTTGAAATACGAAATATCTCAAATGCGAAAGCGAAAACGGTAAAGTTGGACAAGAAAATATGGATTCGATCGGATTAAATATAAAAAACGATGCGGTTCGGTTCGGGATATTTCCGTTCCGTTTTCATCCTCAGTCCCATCTGTGGCAAGAATGCTGGTCTCAGCAGCAGCTCACTGAAGCTCCACTTGCAGAAGGCGCACAAGAAGATATCCTCTGGGAGCGTAGACAGTGCAATGACTCTGGAGATACAAAAAGCAATAGAGGCAATCAAAGCTGGCTGGAGCGGCAGTGACAGCCCAGCGCATAAATCACAATCACACATCGAAGGATTTTGATGTTTAATCTTACATTCCTACGGTCCTGCTAATGCATACAAGAAGGTTTGTAATCAGCAGCTCATACAACAAGGTTTGTAATCGGCAGCCGCTTTAAGAATGAGGCCTCAGCTCTGGACTTAATGACACTTGTAAGTAGCACATTTCTGTAACATTTGAGGGTTTTTTTATATGGTTTACGAGCTTGGATTGACAAGAACCATCAATAGAGGGAATGTAGTTTCTGTTATAAAATTGTGCGATTCTTTTTTTCTGAAGAAATATGTACGAGATGAACATTCAGACTCTTTTTTCGATATCAAATTTTGAATCCTTTGTCCTCTATAATCATTTTGTTCAAAGGGACAGAAGCTCTTCTTTTAGTTCATTGTCAAACTACAAAAATCAAACCGTTTTAAAATGAAATATGGAAATTCTCAGTACAAATCATATATGACAACAATCACTAGATTCGTATCAAAGACCCATCACCATTAGTGAAACAACAGCTCAAACACAAAATTTGTCCTGTACAAAGATCCTATGTCATAGCATTGAGGAAATGAAATAATTTCCCTGCAATACCCAGGAAGATTGGGTGCGTTTTTTATCTATCAGGCAAGTCCTGATGGTAACAATCTCTATCAGGACTTCAGGGTATAAGAGCTTGCCTGTACAGCATGTCCTTTCCGTCAGCAGGTGAGTACTTAGCGAGCATTGGTCTGGTCTCCGCAGAGCTCAAAACCTGTGCTGCGTTCCGGTACCAAGGCTGCAAATGAGGATCTGGCGAAAGCAAGCCAGGAAGCATCACTGAACCCCAGTCTCTCTGCCCTGCCCTTGCTTCACTTATTCTCCGTCGCACTAAAAGCCCAGCCACATCTTCTCTCCTGATCTCTGTCATGGTCCGTGCAATCACCATGCATAGGAGAAGAACAAAAACTGCGTCCTCTTCAGGTAAGAACTCCACAGCAAGTAATTTCCAGTTTAGAAGCATGGTTGCTCTGTCACCATGATGATCCGGTGACTTACGAACAAGTGTGAGGTATTGCTCCTCCTCAACGAGGTTGCTGGATGCATTATCTGTGTTTACTCTGTAGCTCAATCTCCTCCCGACAAGCAGCCTTCCCTGGTAAATAGTACATTGCAGTGCAATTAAAAGGCATGAAATGGCTTTGTAGATTTTTAGAACAGTGAAAAAATGAAGTCGTATATCAACAGTGAAGTAGTAAGACAACTGATATTTTACATTTTAATAAAACAGAATGTTTGAATTACAATTAAATGGCACAAGAAAATTCTATGAAACTGAAACTTAGGGACCATTGGACCAATACAAATGCTATTCTACAGTTTAACCAGCACACCTCTTTGCTAAAGAATGCATCTATATAAAATTCTAGAATAATATCTTTTAAAGAATAAAGTTAAATAACAAACATATTGGTCCAAATTAAGTTCATGTGATAATATAGTTACCATATATCTTCGATCTTCTCTTCAGAGAGATTGCCACTGCTGTGTTACATTTTTGTAAAGGAAAATGATGAACTCTACAGCATGCACTCATTTGTATATTGCATAGAAAAACTTGTTTTCTATAGAAATCAAGTAAGGTTCTTGTGCTGTCAGTTGAGTTCTTTCAGCGGTGAGCACTGATGATGGTACTTTGTCTACTACTCCCTCCTAAAAAGAATGTAATTCTAATTCTAACATAGTACCGAGTCAAACCATATAGAGTTTGAGGGTTTGACCAAGTTTATACAAAAATATATTGACATTTATAATATCAGATAAGTATCATTAGATTCATCATGGAATATGTTTCCATAATATACCTATTTGGTGTAAAAATATCATTGTTGCTAAGAATAGTTTGACTAAGAATAGAAGTAGAATTGCATTCTTTTCACGGCGGAGGTAGTACAATCCATATGCACTCTAACCCGTACTTAAATGTACTGATCATACCTCCTCTTCGGAGCTGTCATTTTTTAACTGAAAGCTGAGTTCATCTCCCAAACGTACTGTCAGTGTATCTCCCGTCGATAAGCTCCAAACTACCTTATTCTCCTGTTGATCTTTCATCACTGTTGCTGTGCCCACTATCTTTTCTGCACCATAAAGGGAACAAATACCCACATTGTCATAATAATTGTGATCTCCAGGAAAACCAATTATTGCACAAACTGAAGTTACCAGGAGCATAACCAACGGAGCTTGTACTAGCAATGTATGACCATGATCCTTCTCGAACCTCAATGCTCCTATCCTCCCATTTCACTGCCATGGGAGTTTCAGCACCTCTCCGCCAAATCCCTCTGCCTACTCTACACAGGTCGCAACAGGTTTCATCAAAAAGCATACTGAGATATAAAATTACAAGTAAATTACAAGTCATTCCCCCAACAGCTTGCACTGTAACCATTACAGATGAAATGATTCAACGGATCTTTCTAAGGGAGGTGGTACGTGACAAACATATCAACCAAAGCCAAATTCTAGAATAACAATCAGTACAACCTACTGAACAATACCTCATCCGGATGACAAAACATTCTCTCCCACTGTGATCAAGTACAGTGCGTGTCAGCCAGCGTCCTTCTTGTGGACGGTAATTTCTCATGCGCAATATGACATCAGAAATCATGGCCCCACCATCATCAGTGACTCGATCAGGCACACACTTCAACAAGTATGGTGCTTGAACTGGAGGGGTAATTGATGCCATCGCTCTCATCCTGACATCAAGTTCCTCTGTGAGAGTGAGTGCCTTCTCATGCAACACATCGCTCCATGAGAATGTGATGTTCTTGAGGAACTTGCTTTTCCTGAAGCACCCACTAAGGGTACGCCTGAACTCAATGAGGAGGCCCCGGGTTGCAAATTCACAATACAAGTGCCATACTTTCTGCCAGCTTTTGCAGGCTAAATTGGACATCGATTTGTTGAGTTTTAGTGATCTGTGACATCTCTGTGTTCGCAATCGTAGGAACTCCTTGCTGGTGGGCTCCTTATCAAATTCTCCCTTCAAGAACACATATACCTGCTACCAAGAAGATCAATGATACACTTAGCCAGAATATAAACCACACAAATATATAAGGACATCATGTGTCATGCCAATATAAAATTTCTTTTAGTTTTTGTAATATGTGACCCAGATTACCAGAGAAACAATTTGAATATACCTAAATAAATTCCCTATACAAGGCCTCAACCTGGAAATAAGCTTATCAATTGCTTGAGTCACTAGATTTTCTATATAGATCAATAGGACCACAGCTTGAAAGTTATAGTAGCAGTCCTTGATAATTTGAATATACCTAATAATATGAATGTACAAATACCTCGTCCGGAGAGAGGGCAATACTTGTTTATGTGTTGTGCATACTAAGAATAAAAAGTATTTTTTGAGGCTCAACATTGTGGGGTTGGATTTTTTGAGAGATGATGCTGGCAAAAGCAAATGATTGAGCAGGCCTACCCACCACCCGATCACTTGAGGCCATTAGCAAAGGGAATCTAGCATTTTGGTTTGGAGTGACCATGGTGCACATGGGGCTGTAGAATTTATAACTGCCTTTTTGACTTATGCCACGATGTGGTCCAGAAACAAATGGATGGCTGCTGAGGAAGCAGAGATAAATAGAACATAACAGTAGACAAATGGAAAATTCTGCCTATTAGCTAGCCCCTCATGAGGACATCATACAAGCTAATGTGGAATATCCTAAGTTTGGCATAAAGTTAACTGGTTAAGTATGATTACAATGTCAGCTCTACTGTTTGGCATTTCATCTAGATTCTAGAGCAGTGTAATTCAATAAAAAATGCTACTGAATAACTACAGTTAATGATACTCTGAAGGTCTCGGATATACCTCCATAATAAATCTAGGCTGCAAACTCTTGTATAGCCGGTTGGCATCCTCCTCTGATGCTGCCGGCACCCAGTAAAATGCCTCCCTTGCTGCACTAACTGCTCCCGCATCAACCTCTGATCCAGCCATATCATATGGTTCATCATATGCGTCCTCCCACAGTCCCCTTGTCCTCCCTATCACCTCATCACTCACCACTTCCCCATAACCAACCCCCACTTTTGCAACATTGTCCCTGATGCCCATCGCTACCATATCCGTGGCATAACACACAGGAAAACTCTGGCATGGATTCATCACAATTGTGTAAACTAAAATACTTTTGAGAACAAAATTACTTGCTTAATCGAATGTAAGGTCTATGTATACCTGGTGAGCAAGCCACATCAGTAATATGTCTAGGCTAGGCACAAGCCGTGTGCATTCTTGGGTTGCGCACACAACCTTCTTGATAAGGTCCAGGAAACGCGCATATCGCCGCCTAGCAGCAACATGGTAGACACCTTCCCGCACAAAGGGTGAGGCAAAACAGTCTGCTAGGCCAGCATACCGTGTCACCATTTTGACAATTTCACCATTGACATTGTCACAGGTTATGTTATCAACACTGTTTCCATCAATCTCATTAGTATCAATGTCAAATGGCTCGGATGGGAAATGAGTAGCCCAGACATCCCGACAACGGTCCTCGGCATACACCTCATTCTCCACATCAAGGATTGATGGACGGTTGATGAGGCATCCAAACCTTGACATGCAGTACGTGGAGTAGTTCTCCTGCAGAGCCGAATAAATTTCAGATGCAGCACTTGGTGAGAAGTGTTGAAGGGGCCAAAGCAGCTGAGTTCAGCGGAAGTGGGTTCCTTGTGGAATGTTAAGTCCAGCAAGGGGTTTTCCAAAAAAAAAGTAAGCACGGTAATTTATACTACTACTAGGAGTATATCACTGCAATTTAACTAACTTGTTGCTCATTCACAATAAATTCTCTATCTCGTTAAAAACCTAAACATTTCTAAATTTATATTAGGAGAAAGAAGAAAGCAAAGACTTTTGATCAGCATGGCCCGAGGTTACAGAGAAAGTCGATATGGCTACTACTACCCTTTTTTTTTTAGAACGGCTACTACTACATAATATGAAG